TCAGGTTGCTATAGGAGAGATGAGCATCTTTTATGTTCCCTTAGGGAAGGGCAACAAGATATTAACATAAGGTTGATGGATACCCTCCTCCCCACATCCCATTTCAAAGAATCAGTTCTCTTCTTTTACAGCAATCCCACCCAGACTGAAAAAGAGAAAAGTACAAGGGGAAGAAGTCTACGAAAGACAATGGAAATGTAGCTCTTGAAAGCAGACCAGGGAACACTGAAAGAACATGAGGAGCAGGGTTAACTTCCGGGCAAGATGACAATTATGGCAATGAAGACTATTTTCAAATCTGCAATAGTCAATAATGCCAGTTGATACACACAGAGGCTAAGAGTAAATGTTAGAAAAATTTGAAGAGTCCATTCTGTAAGAGCATCACAGAAGCAACACAAGCCGCTTATTCAAACATCATTTTTCAGTTCAATTCAAACATGGACAAGAAAGCATTTTACAGCAGATCTTTGTGATCAGAATCATTCAACCCCTCAAATGTTTTCTCCCCCAACATCTACAAAGATGGCAACATGATCAAAATCCCTAGAACCAGCTACGTCAGAGGCTGAAATGCAACTTTTGGTGCCTCAAGATCAGTGTTTAAAGTAGATAAGGTAAAACCAGGCCTAAGGTTACATTTGCCCAACTAAGAGCAAACAGACCCATGTTTGTTTGTCCAGTGCTCCAAGCTGACCAGATAGCAGACTCAAAAAAACCTGCGTTACTGAAATGCTTGAATACTCTGCCTTGCAGCAGCTTTTCATATATATAGGAATTGACACAGCTTCCAAATCAAGATTGTCTTCTACCCTACAGGTTCAGGGCAACAGTGGGCACCTCTGCACATCTGCAAGCAGCTATATTTGCTCATCACCAGAAGAAGTCCTTGGAAGCCATCAGAAAAGTAGAACAAACACTAATGGTAGAAACTGGTATCAAAGATAAATTTATGACAGAACACAAGACCTACTGTCAAGACTCCCAGGTCAACACTGATAGCCCATTGTGAGGCACTTCCAATCTTTTTGAAAGTTTTTTGTTTTGTTTATAAGGTGGTAACTCTTTTTCTGACTGGGAGGGATAAAATAGCCAGGAAGATCTAAAGGAAACTAGGCTAAAACATCTGTTAGTGTTATTGCCACCAGTTCAAAAGAATTTGCAGGTGTAAAGGGAACAAGAAGAGACCCTCCCTTCTTAAAGAAAACAATCCACATAAAAAAAAAAACAAACTCCTGCTTTAGGGCATTTTATACAGAGCTATGTTAAAAGATAGAAGAATAAATACCTCGTATTGTGAGGATTACAAATCCTTTCCACTGGAGTAGACTAAAGTTAACTTCATCCCCTTGCAGTCTGCTTTGTCCCATGGCTGAGCAAGGACCCCTCTGCAACCCTCCAGCCCCAGCAATGACCCTGCCAAGCCCTGCAGCTCATTGCAAGTACGGCCCTTAGAGCCAAGTCATTCTCCTGCTTGATGCCAGAGTACACAAAAGCTCAAGTGTCACACATAAGATCTTACCAACAACCAGTCATTTCATCCTCCCATGAAAGCTAATAAACTTTGGAAGAGTTCAGTAACAGAAATAATAGAACAAGGCATAAGAAGTAGTGCTATTTATGGTAAGAGACTTCCACCTGCTTTCTAAGTAGTGTAAGGAAACTCTAAGAAGTGGAACTCTATTTGATCATTTTCTGAGTGAATACTCATGTTTTAGAGGGGGGGAAAAAAGAAAAGACTGATTTCTTTCTGAAGATGATGTAAAGCACACCAAATCATCAGAACAGGTTGCTTCATAAAAGCATCCCAGATAGGGAAGACAAACTAATACACAAATCATGCCTTGTTTCCAGATGGTCATGATGCTACTGTTCTGAATTTTCTTTTCAGTCCTTCTTTGCATCTTTTTCACTTTTGTATTTTCATTAATGCTACTCAAGAAGTTCCCTACTTTTTTTTCTTAATTTATTTTTATAGGATAAGCCATTTATTTTATGTTCCACAAAAAAAAAAAAAAAAAAAAAAAAACACAAAAAAAACCACACAACAAAAACCAACAAATAAACAAAAAAACCCACAGAAGGCTCAGTACAAGAATTCACTCAAGGAGCATGAAGATCAAGGATATATATATATTTTTAACTGGGGATGAACTTACACTATTAAGGGCCGAATTTGAAAAGAAATTAAGTTTTAACCAACTGAGATCTAGTGTAAAGAAATGCAGATATCATGAAAGTCTTCTGGCAAGTTAATCAGTAGGATTTTATCATCAGACCAGAAAATTAAGCCCTTTATATTCAACTAAGATTAACACAAATAATGTTTTAAAGTAACCAATAAAAAGGTCAATACACTTGTCCCATAAGTTACCATTGTCCCATCTTGTCTTCCTAGGTTCAAAGCTTTATTTGGTCAAGTTTCAGCAGTTCAGTAAGGTTCAGCCAGAAGGCAGTCAGCTCACTGCTGAAATAAAGCTATGAACCTAGAATGAGAATTCTTTTATATCCATTTCTCTTCCCACCCCCATTCTAAAAGAACAAATTAAAACCTAGTTCAAATAATTTGCCTGCTTACATTACCTATTTGATAACACTTTGTTTCAAGCCAAAAGTTGATGCTATAGTTTGAAACTGATAAGCTGATACAAACACCACCAACAGCATCTCACACTTAAGGCTTGTTATCCATTGGCACACTGCAGCTACTTTATTTATGTATATGCTTAACAACAACACATTGAGTAGCACTGGAAGGAGTAAAAGAATATAAGATGGCACCCCAGGTAGACTGATTCTATTCAGACACTATCAGTATAACACTGCTGTCTTCAGCTACCTGAAGAGAGCACCCAGAAGCCAGGTCTTCTCAAAGCTCCATAGAGTTTGGATGAGAGGCAAGACAAAAGCTGCAAGAACAGAAGTTCCAGTTTGATATTAGGAAAGAAGCATCATAATGAGGGTACTGAAATACTGCAGCAAATTACCTGGAGATGAAGTCTTAGTCCTTAGAGATGTTCAAAACTCATTTGGAAAAATCCTAAGCAAGATGATGTAAGTTCATCCTGCTTTGACTTCCATAGGTTTGTTTTAATAGAAAATACTGATTCTGCAAGAAGAGGGCTAGAAGAGGATGCAAGTACAAAGGGACCATCTAGAAAATGCACATAGAACAGGAGTTTCTTTGCTACTTCTGTTTTCCCTTTCTAATCCTTGCAGACACTGAAGCCCTGCTTTTGGGAACTCCCAGCATCTGTCTCAAATGCGAAGCAGCAGAATAAATCACAGACAAAGGGAAGGATAACCAAAAAACAAGATACTGGAACACACTACCCAGTTTTGGTATAGCTACAGTACCCAACCCAGTAACAGGATTATACAGCTGTTGATTTGAAATAACCAAAGATATACCTTTTGGTATCAAAGAGGAGGAAAGTGGCAAGCATGATGTCACTTCTAAGGAGACTCAGGGAAGACCTATACACTGAGCCTGTAGGCCTTATGTCTCTATTTTTTATGCAGTTTTAAAAAAAAGGGTAGCACTGAATGTGCTTTAAATAAACACGGAAGAATCATTCGACTTTTTCAAAGGGAAATCTCTAAAGGAGGGAATGCAGCAATCAATTACAAGCTGACTGCATCAGCTGTGTATGTCCAGAAGTCTTGTAATAAAATAAAGGCTTTCAAGAAAGTTAGCTAGTGAGAGATTCAGTAACGGACAGTAACTGGCAGACAGCTCTTATTCAGTGTAACATGCTGACCAGTACTGCTTCACAGAGGTAAAAAGGTTTGCTAGTTAGCTCACAGAATTAAGCTGATCCTTGTCATTACTACTGCAAACATTTGCATAAGGATTCTGTAAGACTGAGTGAACAGACAATAAATTTGCAGATTAAACTCAGTAGAGGTAAGCAATACACACGTGGAAACTATGAGCTGACAAACTCTAAGCTTAATACAAATGAGAAAGTAAGCTATTGGGTTAACACTGAACAGTTTCATGACCTTTTGAAAGGGAAGTGAACACAAAGCAGTGTACTAAAGTAATAAATTGTGGTGCATTCACATCCTGACTTCTTTGTGAGGCATTGCTTTACCTCCCATTCTTTCCCCTTCAACTAGCCAGCTTGGCAAGAGGAAGAAGGACTGGAAGTCTGTCCGTTTGATTAAAATTATGATTAAGGATGTGCTGAAGCTGATCAAACTGTGATTTTTACAGTCTGATACAGTATGAACTGTAAACTCCTGAGTGCAGCACATGAATGTGTGGGGACAATTAATGAACACTGGAATAGTAATGGGCAACCCTGTAATGTAGAAGGTGCCAAGTCCGAGCAGACTTATTTATGCTTACTCCAGAAACAATCTCTAGTGCATCCACTCATTTAACTATGCCCACGTCAGTGAGCATACCAATAGATAAGCAGCATGAACTGTCAAGTCCACTAATTTAGCTTGTTCCTCAAACAAATGTTACTTAGCAGCATGGATTTGGTGCTGTCTACAAACCTTGTTTTTAATACTCTAATGCTGTGGATACATTTCAGCTACAATTTCAGCTCTTTGTGCAGGACTCTTTATAGCACCCATGACAAGCTGTTGTGACAGAGACAGCTTTTGCATGAGGGCACAAGCAGGAAGAGGCCTGCATTCCATGACAGCAGAACAGAAGTTACCTTTGGCATAGCCATATTTGCTGTCTCTAGATACCTAAAGAAGAAATCTTCTTCCTAGCTCTAGAATGTGTGATGCTGTCCAATAGATCAGCCCTCCCCTGAGAATCTCCTGCCCCATATTCTTCTTTCTAACAGGTACAGTCTTTGTTACACACACAGGTAAACAATTCTCTTACAGCTGAGAGTTTTTTCCAAAACAACCCAGAATAAACTTGCAAAGATTCTCAAGCAGGAAAACTACAAAGAATTCTTTCCTGGCTGGAAAGAATTTTAATCATAACAAACACAAACCTCCTTACAGGGATGGGGTGTTGAACTCTTCACTGTCCACCTACAGCAAGCAGTTTTTCATCTTTCCTTGTTTGCTAGGAGTTGTCAAACATTTGCTTACCTGAATGAAAGTAGCACCCTCTAATGCAGCCTTCAGGTCTGTGCAGATGCTGATGAGAGCCAACTGCTTCTCTGCGCTCAAAGTTCCTTTCAGGAATCCCGACTCCTCCAGCTCTTTCATTTGTTTGCTAAACAAATAAAGCACGTTTAGCTACAGTTATCATTTTTAAGCCACTACTATTACTATTTTTCAATAAAAGCTTCTTAATGACGCAGTAATGACACACTCTTTGTCATGCCACTGCATACACAGTCAGAAATATAAAGGTTAATTTCAGTCCTTTATCTCTGCTTGCCTCTCTTTCCTACAATGAGAGTTTTCTTCTCTTTGTACTTGGGCAGCTAAAAGGTCTATTCCTAATCCCAAATTAGCCACCATATCAGATTTGTTTCTACTAGCGCAGGATCAGCAAGAGCTTCTCCTTAAGTTTAGTGTACCTTCCATTTTGTTCCTCTAGTATTACAAACAACAGCCCTTTCGTTATGACATCTTACTATAGAATCATTGTTTAACCATATTAAAAAAAAACAAAAACAGATGCATTCCATTTTCCTAAAAAAAGGAAAAAATTCCCCTAATATAGGTAATGACTACAGAGCATCTGAAAATTTCTGTAATTAATAAATTGAGTGGCCAGAGCTTTAACTGAACATTTAGGTACACATCACTACTGCATTTGGACAAGCCACCTGAGAAAGTCTCTACAGCTTGAAACCTTCAAAAGCTGAGAGCAAGCAAGCCATTTTCAAAACTGTTCAAGTAACTGAGAAGTGCAATTTTCACAGAAGTTATGGGGGATTAAACCATCTGATCACTATGAACCTGAAGCTCTCTGATACAACCATTAATACATTTAAGCTTATCAGTTGCCTCAGTTCAAAACTTGTCTATAGCTTTATTATTATTCAGCAAAAATTGCTCATTCTGAAGAGAGGAAGAAATTCAGCTGTTAGTCTCTGGGGGGGGGAGGAGAGGGGGGCCTTCTCCCTACCAAGTTACTTTCAAAACTTTGGTTTCTCTCTGGTGCTTGCTTACACAATAAGTAAACTGCACTTGGCACCCAGCTGGAGGGTAGAAAAGTCACAGCAAATAGAAACTGTACAGCCTGGGGGAAAAAAAAGGAAAGAAAAAGTGTATTCCTGTATTACGAATATCACACAGCTGAGTATAGAAACAACTAGTGATCCATCACATGTTCCCTAAGTGACTGTGACACAAGGGCACACATGACAGTCTGCATGAGGAGATTTCTGGGACAGTACCACTGGACTTAGTTTTGCACCCAGAGACCTCAGAAGAGACAGGGACCCCATATGTTTCCTATATTAACTACAGCAGCCAGAGGCAAACGCTGCCCTTAATCCTTAGAAGCCAGGCAGGCAGTTAGCCTTGGAACAAGGGTAGCATCAGCTCCAGACTTCCTCTCCAATCCAACCCCAGCACTTATGCTGAGGCAGCATTTCAGCATTACCCTAAGCAGAGGTACTGCAGACAGGGATTGACTGCACCTCAGCTTTCAGCTGCTGTATGAAGTTGGGGTGAGAAGCCCATCAACAGCTTTCCAAGCAGCATTTTAAATTAACAGAAGAGGGAGAGGGATGAAGGCCATTCCATCTCCATCTTTCACTCCACACTTTTCAGACTGCCTGCTGACAACATGGGCTAATACATTCACACTCTGTCAATCCATCCTTTTATTTAGAGCTCTTGTCAATAAATGTTGAATTCATAGATCTAATATTAAACTTCCTCCCCTAGATTCCCTAAATAAAATGAAGGAAGTTAATCTCACCTACCCTCTCAGCACATTCTGAGACCATAACCTTCAGTTCTCTTTCAGAGAGGAAAACAGTGTCTTTGTCTGAATTTTTTTTCTTGGCATTCAAATATGCAGTGTCTCATCTTTACGATAGAAGTACCTATTTCTCCCTGACAGAAAACAGCAAAAAACGAGCCATTTCAATCACAGTATTAAGTTAGCAAAGATACAAGTTACTTACACAAAGACAATTTAGTTCCCATTAAACTACACAGAAGCAAGTTCAACCTCAGAGATTCAGTGGGCCCTCAAATACTCAGCTTGAGCTGAAATCAACTATCAAATTGCAGAGGACAGATGCTGAAATAAAATTCTGATTTGTTATATTTTCTTGGACACAACATAACTAAACTCTACTAGTTCCAACATTGTTTTATTAACAGGTCATTACTACCAGAACCATAGAATCCTTAGAGTTGGAAGGGACCTCTGAAGGCCATCTAGGCCAACTCCCTTGCAATAAACAGGGACACCACAGTTAGACCATGCTGCCCTGGATCTGAGCCAGCCTCATCTTCAAAGTTTCCAGAGACAAGGCATCAACCACATCACTATATAAACTGTTCTAATGCCTCACCACCCTCACTGTAAAAGATTTTTTTTCCTTCTATTAACCTAAACCTATCCTCCCTGAGCATGACGACATTTCTCCTTGTTCTATTGCCTTTTTTTTTTTTTTTTAATACATTTATTGACCATGTGATTGTCTTATTCCACAGATGAACTCTAAGCTTTCCAAATGTTTCCAAACTCTACTTAAATTCCTCTTGGGTCCTACATTGCCACAGAAGCGTAATCAACGGCAGGGAGCCTGCCCAATGCTTAACATGTATTAAACTGGAACAGACTGGTTAACATACACAGCAGTGCACCACTGACCTCTACTGGATGACTTTTTATTCAGAGCAGCTTCAACTTCAGGGTCATCATCGCCAAGAACGAGCACAGACTCTAAGGACAAAGCAGTCACCGCTGTAGGACACACCACATGACTTCACACTACAGCTGTACCGCATGCAAAGCTTGAAAAGTTTGACTCAGTATGTCCATAATATCTTCAGAGAATGATAAATTCACATCCAGAAGAAAATATTAATTCTTTTGAGAGCCCACACTTCAACACTGCCTATCTCCAGCACTTCACTGTTGTACTGGACTGCATATGTCAACACCATAATGGGAACTGAACCAGCATTAATTTCAAAATAGGGCACCCAATCTATAGCAACACTCTGGATACAAACTGCCTGTGATGCTCTTGGTGACAATACCTATTGCAGAAGGTTTTAAAGAAGGGCCTTGGAAGTGCTTCCAATAATTAAACAGTCTTTTTCTTATTATTACTACAGCAGGGGAAAGGTCTGGAGAGAATGGAAGTAGGCACCATACCTAAATGAATTTAGCCCTACAGCTTCCAAACCTAAACAGTTCAGCACAAGCTCAGAGCACGTGTATGAGTATGTGACCACCCAGACAAGGCTGAGCAGACAAGCACCAGAGCACTACTCAGCACAAACTCCCCAGCCTTCACATCTCAAGAAACCAACACATTTCTGAATGCAGAACTTCTGAAAAGCAGAGTTATCAACTCCAACACAGCAGCGACCCAGCTCCAGGCCTCACAGCTCCTTAAAAGAACCTGGAAACTTTTCTTTCTCAGTGATTGGAGGAGTTCTAAGACTATCATGGGGGAACAATTAGACCAGTCTCAAACTTCCCATCCACTTTTTCCATACAGTATTCCTTCTATAGCCTCACTACCTTATTATTAGTGCAACATTTCCACTGTGTTTCATCTTTATCAGCAACATAATTCTTCTTAGAATAGTAGCACAGTACCTATTTGAAAGAAATCTACACAACAATCAATGGGCAAGGGGGTAGCATGCACTACATGGTACATTTTAGGTTTAATTTCAGGAACACCACACTATTTGTTTTTCTTTTTTTCATTGTTTTAAAGTTCAGCAATCTTGCAATCAAACCAGAATCACAAGGACTCAGAAGAGAAAGTATCAGATAGGAAAAGTTACACTTCCTAGGGCAGGTTATTACAGGTTTGTTTCAGTAGGTCAAGTGGCATGCAGCTGTTCAACTGATTTTTTTTTTTTTTTTCCTCTTTCCCTGGAAAAAAGGTTGTTCCATTAGAGCAGACACTGGTTAATGAGGCTACTGGTACACCCAGTTCAATCCAGCATGAAGTCACTCTTTGTGTCAGGGCACCACGTGCATGTCACCAGGCAGGTAGGCCGTGAATCCACCATACCAAGCTAGGCTTTAGTAAACACACTTTCCTTTCCCAATCTGGTCTACTGCTATGGTGGTAACCTGTTACAAGTTTCCACTTGCATCAGTAGATGCAAATTCCGGTCTGGTCTCATTTTCGGGCACCCATTCTGGAAATAGTGCAGAACATATTTCAGAGTCTCCACACAGATAAAAGCAGCCCCTCATCACCAACTGCAGGTCCATCCTACTCTCGCGCCTGTCCTGCAGATCTGTGCACCTGCTGTTTTGTGAGACCTAAATTCACTACGCTAAGGAATCCTGAAGTGCACTTCTTACACAGCTTGTATAGATTCAGAACAATGAATTAAACCAATGTTCCAAAAGTGAATCACGTAGTAGCTCATTTCTACTCCTTTTAGAAGTGCTTTGTACTACTCAGACCTTCTCTTAGTTTAGAAAAGCTAAAAACATTCCTTCATACTGTTTAATATTTTGAAGTAGCTCCATACTCTAAGTCACAGACTAAAGAACAAAACTCTTTTCAACACTGAATTAAAAACAAACTAACAACAACAACAACACACAACCACACACCCAGAAACAACCCACAACTATCTTTTAATTTCCCAGGAAGCAAATCCCAACAAGTTCAGAGAAGTAACTACCAATGGCTTTGTCACTCAACTTCACCAGGCAGACCCTGCTGCCCTCCTCTATGAGCCTTCAGGATCTGCTGAAGTTCCAGCTCCTATAAAAATATCACCTCAGTAATGCAAACAGTTTTATTGCAAGTTGCATACTATGAAATCAGTGCCAAAAGAATGTTCCAGTTTAACTGTATTTTCACAGATCCAATCATTAAAATACTGGTTGGAATACAACAACAACTGCATAGCATTTGTTACAAGAGCACAAGCCATGTTTTTCTGGAACTAAACTTTTTAACTAAGATGTTAGAACAGCCAAGATACATAAGTTAATTATAAGTTGAGTTAAGAACACCTTATGTAAAGGGCAAAACCTGCCTCGAACTCCTATGGAACAGCACATACAGGCACAGAACAGTACACTGACACACCTCAAATAGCTCTCCACACAGCTATACACAGTAATTTGTTTCTCTTTTCCAAGCTGAAAACCTCAGAAGACTGAAGTCCTTATTCTGCCATTAGACAAGGAATAAATAGGGATGAGTGCCAACTTCACTAAAGTAGCACACAGAACTCCTTCCATTCTCAATAATCTACAATCTTACTGTGAATACTGCTATGACAGCAATTCTGCAAGTGCAATAAGTATGTTAGGCTTGACTAATATCTACCTGCAGAGTTGTGAAGAAAGAAAAACAACACAAAGACAAACCTCCAAGATAGTGAAAGAGGGGAAAATCTTTTTTTTTTTTTTTTTTTTTTTTTTTTGAATAAGAAGTAAATCTCACTAAAAATTGCATACTGCTTAACCTTCAAACTCCAAGAACTGAACTAATTCAAAAAGGGGCCTCTGAACTTCCTCCTCCTTGATACGAGCCTTGTTACTCAAAATAATCAGAGTGCAACATGCCATAACCCTTTTTCAGGTGAAACTTCATGTCTATACCAGCTGCCACACAGCAGTTGGGGCAGGGAACACTGAAACATTGTGCTTTATACTTATGATCAAACAATCTGAACTTCAGAATTAAATGCTGGTAAAGTAATATAAGGCTGTGTGCAGAATCTATTAATGCATGCCCCCTCCTACACAGACTAGATTTCAGGACTGGCAAGAAGAGGGTGAACAGGACCAGTCAGTCACTGTCCCTTCTAACTAACAAACCAGTGGCCAAGTAAAGCAGCTGAGAAACCAGGTTCAAAGCAAACAAAAGGGAATAGCTCTTCATGCAGAGAGCAGTAAACCTGCACATCACAAAGTCCTTTGGCAAGCAGTTCACAGAAAGATTTACACAGGTTCAAGGGAAGGTTAAGAGAAATACTTGGAAGCAATATGGTTAAGAGTCACTCAGTACAAATGCAACTTCAAGACACTGTAAGCTCAGGGAGGGGAAACAGACTGGCAAGACTTGAACTTACAGCTCTCAGACATTCCCAAAGAATGCCACTTTCCCCACAGTGCAACAGGGTTATCAGAGAAAAGGGTTGGGGCATACTGCTCTGAAGCACCAACTTTTCTCATGCTCAAGCCCTCAAATCTGCACTTCTTAAAGTGCTTCCAAGCCTCTACTGTAACTGGTCAGTAGTTGTGTCTTCAGTAGAACTAGCTACCTCTTCTTTTAGGACTCCAAAAAAGTTGCTTCAAATTTTTTAAATATTTCTAATTAAACTAGTAATTACAGTACAGCTCCTTAGCAATCATATGAGCCCCTTTGCATCTTGAAACACCTTTTGTTGCATTTGTACAGAAAAAAACCTTACACTCCTGTATTTAATCATAGTCTATAGATAACCTAATCAAAGAAAACATGGTTTCAAGAACTTGGATCTAAACTTAAGCTCCTAAGAGATTTGGGAACATGGTTTTCTGATAGTAACACTAGTCATAGTTTAATGCTAATGCTTTCTTTAATGCTCAAAATCTATGCTCCTCGAATAATGAGACTGTTCACTCCTAGTTACAGAAATCCCACAGATTCATTACAATGTCAGTCATTTGCACAGTCTGGTAGCGATATGACAAGAGAGAATAGTTTTAAACCAAAAGAGATGAGGTTTAGGTTAGATGTTAGGAGCAAATTCTTTATTCAGAAGGTGGTGAGGCACTGACACAGACTGCCCAGAGAGCTGTGGGTGCCCCACCCCTGGAGGGGCTCAAGGCCAGGCTGGATGCGGCCCTGGGCAGCCTGGGCTGGTGGGTGGCAGCACTGTTGATGGAAGGGGTTGGATCTGGATGGGCTTTAGGGTCCTTCCAACCTAAGCGATTCTATGATAGCAACTCAGGAGACGTACCGAATGTTTTCCAGTGCAGTTGTTAATTGTTGTTGTGCAATATCATAAAGTCTCACTTGGAAGCCTCCAGCAGCAAACACCATGGCCCAGCTGCGACCAATGAGTCCACTGAAAAAGAAATAAATATTAACCAATTAATTAAAAAAGTATTTTCTTCTGGAGTCCAACGAGCACTTCAAAAACTAAACCAGAGTTTGAATTCTCCAGCATTTAATCTAAAGATCAGTTACATATTAATAAGAAACTAATCTCTCTCTTGAGCAAAGAAATATCCTTCACCAGTTGTACAGCAGCTTCTGAGAGCAGGGAGAAAGATAACCAGGAATTAAAAATAGAAGGAGGGCAGAATTCTAAGGAGTAGAAACCACTACTTTGGGACGATGGATTCAAGCATCAATAGTTTTGTCAGCTGTAATCCTAACCTAGGAGCTGGTGCAAAGAACCACATTACTTGTGGTCCATTACAGAGAAATGTGTAGTAACCAATAATTGTATTACATCAAAGCAATGCTGGTTTTAACTTCAGTAGTTTTATTACTGGGCATTAGCTTCTTCAAAAAGAAGCACTGAGACACAGTGCAGCAAGTTTAACTTCAGATCACATCACAAAAAAAAAAACAACAAAAAAACAAAAGAAAAACAAAAAAACACAGCCCCAGCAAGAACTCCACAGCCACAACTGTCACAGTGACAGCACTGATCATTACACGCATTTTCTGCCACTTCCCATATTGCTGTCCCTGTAACACTAAACTTAAACAACCTCTGGCATTTGGGAAAAGGAAAGGCCAGGAGGGTAACAGTAAAGGACGATGGGGGGGGTGTAATAAACAGGTAAGTCAGCAGGCCAGATGTAAAAAGAAGGAAGAGAAAAATAGGAACACATCCAGGCTTTATCTAAAGTAGAACAAAAAGAGAGCAAAATAAGTAGCTTTGGGGGAAAAGTAGGAGTCAGAGGAAATAACTGAGGCAAAAATAAAGTGAAACTTCACATTTAGTATTGTTGAGTGAGCACTACCCACTGAAAGCATACAATTTAAACTATACATCAAACACACACAGAAGAGCCTGCATCTCTCAAGCAAACTACAGAATAAGTGCACTTACAACAGACAGGTGCAGGCCACGGTAGCTACAGCAGCCCCCCAGCTAGCAAGCACTTGACAACTAAAAGCACTGGAGTACTTGAACTCCAAACAAGCATACCCGGGCTACCAATACCTTTATAAACTAGTAACACCTCTTCAAACTGCACTCTGAATAAGGGTTATTTAAATCAGCATTTAACAACAGCAAAATAAGTTTTATTTTTATTCACATACAGATTTTTAGAACTGTGAGATTTGCCTTCTTTAGAACTCCACAGCACACAAAGCTGCCCGGCGGCAGAAAGCAGCCTTGCACTATTCCTGCTGTACGCGACAGCGCCAGCACGACGCGCGGCTGAAGCGATGACCCCCGGGCCGTCCTGCCGGACACGAAGCGCCGTCACCCGGGGCTCAGAAGGAAGCGCGGCACCCCGGGGTCCCACCTGCTCACCCTCGAGGCGGACGGCGCGCGGCGGTGCCGGCGGACAGTGCTGTCACATGGCCGTGCCGGACACGTGCCGCTCAGCTCCGGCGGCCGCGGACACGGCGCGACTGAACGCCCCGCGGCTGTGGTCAAGTCGGCTTGAGCTCAAGGAGTGGGTGAAGCAATGCACTCGGGAGTCAGAGACACCGCCGTGTGTTGTGAGAGCGCTCCAAGAGCCTAGCGGGGAACGCTAGCAGGTCAATGACGCTCCTGGCTCTTACGAGCCTCCTCCACCGGCGCTCCACTTGTGCAGAAACGGGACGGAGCACAGTGGGCAGCGCTGCTGCAGAACCGCAGGAGGCCGTTCGCTACGGAAGCGCCCCGGGGCGCACAGAGGCCTCCCGGCAGCTGGCACCGCCCGCCCGCCCGCAGGCAGCGGGGCCTCAGCCGGCAGCCGCTCTCAGCGGCGCCGCTCGCAGCCGCTACCTCTCGCTGCTGCGGACTGCGGAGCGGCGGCCTCCCCGCACCCCGAGGCCCAGCGCCCCCGGGCCGGGCCCCTCTGCGCGCAGCGCCCCCCCGCGGGCGGACGGGCGGGCAGCCCTCACCTGCCGATGATCGCCACACGCACGGTCTCCATGCTCGGAGGACGCACAACCACAACCTCCACACAGCCGGGGGCGCAGCCAGCGCCTTAAAAAACGGCCGCTCCCCACCCACGGCTCCCGCCATGTCACGGCCGCCCCCATTGGCTCCTGCTACGAGCTCTGCCATTGGCCGCGTGCCGCGCCCCTCAGCGGCCACTCCTCGAGCCCGGCCGGCCGCCCTCGCTCCCCCGACGGGAGGGAGCGCGCTGCGTTCGGCCGCTCGGGCACGCGAAGGAGGCTCTCGCGCGGCCCGACGGAGGATGGCCACGACGTCTTCCCTCGCGTCGAAGAGAGCGGTTTTGCCCGGACGTTTATGTGCGGTAGCCCACGGGCAACGCCGTGAGACGGCAGGCGGGGTCTCACCTCCAGGATAAGAGCAGCCTTTGCCGGGACACGGTCTGCCTGGCCTTCCTCCGTGCAGGCGTGCTGAACCACGGCCAGCTTCTTGCTTTTATGCAGAGACCTCGGTTTTACCATACTGGCAGAAAGTACCAGAGCCACAGCTTCAGAGCTGTTCAGGTTCCGCATCAGCTCCCACTGAAACTCATCCAGCTGTGAGTCGGGGCCTTGGGAGCTGCTGCCTCCCATCCCATCGCGCTTGGGCTGCAGAAAGCTCTGGATTCCAAGGTGATGTTCAAATTTAAAACTAATTCCATGCTTTGTTTATTCATTAGGGAAGCACTGTTATCATTCAAAATACTTTCTTCCTGAGTTCTGATGATGCATTTTTGCTGACCTTGTTTCTTTCCATGAGAACTTTTCTGTATTCTGAAAGAATGTGACTCTACAATGTCAACACAACATTATAGAGTTGACCGCTCTATAATTTCTGCTGGAGTGCTGCATTACCTGTTTTTTGTTTATTCTGTGTAGTTCCCATTCATCTATATTGGCTCTGTTATGCTGGATGTTTCTGAAAAGAAATAACGATTAAGATTTTAAATGTTTACTAGCTTCCAAAGATCTGTACACTTAACATAGCTGAGAACCACTTGTAAGTTTTGTGTTAATGGCATACTAAAAGAAGTTACATTGAAAATAATTTTTCCCCTCAGAGTATGTTTTTCATAATTACTGAATGTCAGTGAATCAATTTGGCTCTCATTTCTTTTAGTTTCCAAGAAACAAACAAACAAAAAAAACCCTACATAATAACTACAGAACATTGTCAATATCTATCCCCCTCACTAGCATTAGAATCACAGAATGGCCTCGGTTGAAGGGGACCTTGAGGACCATGAATTTCCAACCCCCCTACCATAGGCAGGGCCACCAACCTCCCCATTTATTACTTGAACAAGGAGGAAGCTATCTCAGAAGTATAAATTCCTAAAGGTCTCGTGATGATCACCCATAGGACAGCAGATAGAAAGAAAACCAAACTACAACCTCTCTGACCTCAGCATCTAAACACTGCATCTGTAACATGGCAGCTACCATTAGGTGGGATATGAAGGAGCTGAGCGCAGGCCGCTGGTCCTCAAGATTGCAGGAAGTGGGGCAGCAGTGTGCAGGAAACCTGGCCATGCCAGTTTATGGCTCAGAAGCATTGTTCTATTACTATAGCAAATACCAGTTTCGCACCTTTAAAGACTAATTTGAAATTGCATGACTTGGCACATATTACGAAGTACTTTGTCTAGCCGAAGTGTAATTGAAGCTCTGTATTTTTGCCTTGTGTACACAAGTTTTTACTTAAAGAAAAAAAAGTTCCCAGATAAAAGAGAAGTATTTTGGACTTTGGAAACATGGTTCATTATCACTCCCACTTGGAATTACTTACAGGTTATCTCAATACACTGAGATGCGTATTAATATCTGAAGTTGCCTTATGACAAAAGCAAGACTCAGTGATAGACAAGTTAAGAAGCTGTGTGGAGAAGGACCTCGGTGTCCTGGTGGACAACAGGTTGGCCATGAGCCAACAGTGTGCCCCTGTGGTCGTGGTTTCCTGGGGTGCATTAAAAAGAGTGTGGCCAGCAGGTCAAGGGAGGTAACTGCTCTACTCTGCCCTTTTGAGGCCACATCTGGAGCACTGTGTCAGGTCTGGGCTCCTCAGTTCAAGAAAGACAGGGAACTTCTGGATAGCATCCAGCAGAAGGCCACAAAGATGATGAGGGGCCTGAAGTATCTCCCTTAGGAGGAAAGGCTGAGAAACTAAGGACTGTTCAGCCTTGGAAGACTGAAAGGGGATCTTATCAAACATCTACAGGACACGTGTCAAGTGGAGGGGGCCAGGCTTTTTTCAGCGGTGCCCAACAACAGGACGAGGGGCAACAGTCACAAACAGGAGGCAAACAGGGGCAACAGTCACAAACTGGAACACAGGAACTTCCACATGAACATGAGGAAAAAAATTCTTTTAGAGTGACTGCACTGGAACAGGATGCTCAGAGAGGCTGTGGAGATTCCTTCTCTGGAGGCATTCAAAACCCATGTGAACACTTTCCTTTGCGACCTACTGTAGGGAACCTGCTTTAGCAAGGGATTGGATTCAGTGATCTCCAGAGGTCCTTTCCAACCCCTATGATTATGTGATATAGTGAAATTAAGAGCTCAATCAAACAAGTTAGGAGAAGTTAGTGCAGGAGTTTGAGAACAGTTATGTGGCTTACAAGTTCTGTTGGTGACCAAAACAAGAGATCTATGGGAATGAAATCTGACCTGTTCTATTACCATCAGTGTAGCAGTAACAGTGCCACATAACTCTACATTAGTTATTTTATTAGAGCATAAGAACAGCCTTATTCCTCATTGTTTTTGATATCCAGACACTCTAATGAGCCCAAGCTGCCAACACATCAGTAGATCAGAAGAGGAGAAAGAGAGATTTGCAAGAAAAGAAAATAGATAGAATTAAGTTGTAATTAGCATATGTCAAGGAAATGCAACGTGGTTAGAAAGAAAACAACATTAGTTTAACTTTTGTGTAGCAGCATAAGAATTTTTAGGTCTAGTACTTGGGGCCTCTAAAATATACAACAGTAATTCTCCTCCCTCTTCTGCAGCTCACATGGGAAGGACAGAAGATGCCTCCAGCCCACAGGCATCAAAAACCCATAATCAAGAAACGGTGAAAAGTTCTACGCTCCATTAGGGGCTGAAAAGGAAAGCTTATTATTGGCAAGAGGAGAAGCCCAAGTGGAGCAAGTATACACTCACCATCCTCTACATTCATTTTTGTGGTCCAGTAGGGACCTGTGGGCAGTAGGAGCAGATTTAATTTAACACACTGGGAGCTCCAAAGTTGCTTACTCCGTGTTTTTAATGTGTATTGAGCATGCTCAAGCGTGCCTCACAGAGGAGGTGAAAACCACTGCTTGCTGGGAGCCAGAGAGGTTAGAATGTGGAAGAGGTGGGAGTGTGAATCCACACACAGGAAAGAAAGAAATCACATGTCTCTAAAATACTGAACGTCCTAGTCTGAACTTTTGGCAGGGAATGAAAACAGAGCCACAGTTCATCCTTGTTAAATATTAGGCTTTTTTAATATGTTACTTTTCACCAGCAGAATCAGAAAGTACATTTATTTTGTAATTGACTATGGTATGTTGTTGCTATGATAGTAATGTTTCAGGAAATAAAATGTGCTTAAATAATAGTTTTCATTTAATCATTTTTTTCCTATCCTGTAAAGTTCTAAGTAGTGGTTTGCACAATAATTATAATCAGTGTGTTTTAAAATCAAGCTGTTATTGAAACTATAATTTTGATTATTGCTAGCAATTTGTGCAGTTAGCTTAGGTGGCTGTTTACAGTGTAGCTGGTCTGATGCAGTTATTACCAATAGCGCTAAGATGCTGATTCTTAAATATCTATAGGAATCAGAAATCTCATAGCAAAAAGAAACAAGTATACAAATGCATGATTTAGAAAAACCAGATAGAATTATATTCGTTAATGGCAGAAATATCCATCAACAAAATAGTTCTCCTGATGTGGGTGTCTTTTAAATCCTGTGCTCCCTGCAGGACATGTGCTCCAGAACCTTCACAGCTTCATTGCTCTTCTCAGAACGCGTTCTGGGGCCTCAATGCCCTGGATACACTGGATTGATTGATTGATGGGCCAAGGCAAACTGCGTGAGTTTCAATAAGGCCAAGTGTCAGGTCCTGCTTTTGGTCACAACAACCCCAGGCAACCCTACAGGCTTGGGGAAGAGTGGCTGGAAAGCTGCCTGATGGAAAGGGACCTCGGTGTACTGATGGACAGTTGGCTGAATATGAGCCAGCAGTGTGCCCAGGTGGCCAAGAAGGCCAATGGCATCCTGGCTTGGATCAGGAATGGTGTGGTGAGCAGGACTAGGGAAGTCATCCTGCCCCTGTACTCGGCACTGGTGAGGCCTCACCTCGAGTGCTGTGTTCAGTTTTGGGCACCTCAGTACAGAAAGGACATGGAGGTGCTGGAGCAGGTCCAAAGGAGGGCAACAAGGCTTGTGAAGGGCTTGGAGAATATGGCCTGTGAGGAGAGACTGAAGGAACTGGGGCTGTTCAGGCTGGGGAAAAGGAGGCTGAGGGGAGACCTTACTGCTCTCTCCCAATATCTGAAAGGTGCTTACAGCGAGAGCAGGGCTGGTCTCTTCTCACTGGTGACAGGTGGCAGGACGAGGGGAAATGGCCTCAAGTTGTGCCAGGGTAAGTTTAGATTGAATAATAGGAAACAATTCTTCACGGAAAGGGTTGTGAAGCACTGGAATAGGCTCCCTAGGAAGGTGGTTGAGTCACCATCCCTGGATGTGTTTAAAAACTGTTTGGATGTGGTGCTCAGGGACATGATTTAGCAGAGGGTTGTTAGGGTAGTTTGATTAGGTTATAGTTGGACTCGATCTCTAAAATCTTTTCCAACCTGAGTGGTTTTATGATTCTCAATGTCTATGATTCTCCATGTCTCGTAGTAGGGGGCCCAAAACTTGAACACAGAAGTCGAGATGTGGCCTCACCAGAGCTGAGTACAGATGGACGATCCCCTCCCTGCTTCTGCTGCCTGTATTTCAGACACAAACCAGGATGCCATTGGCCTTCTTGACCACCTGGGTGCACTGGTGGCTTATGTTCAGTTGAGCGCTGGCCGACACCCCCAGGTTCTTTTCCTGTGCACAGTCTTCCAGCCGCTCTGCCCCAAGCCTGTAGTGTTTCAAATACATTCTTCATTTTCTTTATTCTCAGAAATTTCTAAATGTATGCAGACAAGATCCATTAGTTTCAAGAGGAGTGTTTAAATGCAGCTTTACTGTGTGTGGATGTTAAGCTGAAGTGCCCCCAATGGGACAGTTGACAATTTCTGAATATCTGGTCAGTCAAGGATTGAATATTAGAAAATTATTAACTTTTATAAAATTTTAATGGGACAAATACAGACCATTAAGAATACATATATGTTAATATATCAAAACCACACCATAGAAGCTGGGCAGACAAACAGTTAAACCCACAGATCAAGGGTAGGGTGCAGAGGAACGGTGATTACAACACAAATGGTGGCCAGTAACCCCTGAACCCAAGTTAGCAGGTGCTGGAACAGTTTGCCTGAGTCCTTACTTGCAATGTTACTGCAGCAGAAAGACAGATAAATCGTGTATTTATTGAACTGCCAGGACATTTTGGAAAGGGTCCAGAGGAGGGCGACTAAGATGATCAGAGGGCTGGAGCACCTCCCCTATGAGGACAGGCTGAGGGAGTTGGGCTTGTTCAGCCTGGAGAAGAGAAGGCTGCGGGGTGACCTCATTGCAGCCTATCAATACCTGAAGGGAACCTACACCCAGGAGGGGAGTAAACTCTTCAAAAGGGCTGACAACAGCAGGACTAGGGGAAATGGATCCAAGTTGAAGGAGGGAAGATTTAGGTTGGATGTTAGGGGGAAGTTCTTTACAAGGAGAGTGGTTAGGCCCTGGAACAGGCTGCCCAGGGAGGTTGTGGATGCCCCGTCCTTGGATGTGTTTAAGGCCAGGTTGGACGGTCCTGGGCAACCTGATCTGAATGTGTGTGTTTGGTGGCCCTGCTAGGCAGGGGGGTTGGAACTACATGATCCTTGAGGTCCCTTCCAACCCGGGTGATTCTGTGATTCTGTGTGACATTAGTACTGTTTAACAGCATATCTTTATGATCTCCTTCAGGTTTCACTGAATTCATCAGATCAGGTACTTAAGGTCTTGATATCTAACTGAACAACAGCAAATATATATCTATATATATCTTATATATCTTATATATCTTACAATGTTTCAGCTGCTGCTGCATTTGAGGGGTGTCAACTGCACAACCCAAATCACCCTCAGGAGAGGGTGATTAGCTTAGCCAAAAACTGCTTAGGATTTTTCCCCATTGTGAAATCTTCTGAGGAAATGGAAAATTTGAGGTTTTGCATTAAATCTTCATGCATTAAGGTCTACTTGTACTTCATAGAGAAAAAAAAGGCAGATTAATACAGCTTTTAGAAGTGTAAACAAAGCCTATTACGACCCTCAAGTTGTTATGCATAGACTGAGGGACCTAAAGAGCTGAGCTAGGGAGTACTCCTGACCTCAGAGCCCACTCTGATGCTGGAGCCAACTGCCTTTGCTGTTAACATATCCTGTTACAGTGTTAATTAATTACCATTCTCCCAGTTCTCAGTATGGACTGGGAAGTAATAGAGGCTAGGAACAATTTTCAGCAGCTGGTATGAATGTGTACACCCTGCTTTGGAGGGCAAGGAAGCTTAAAATGGTCATGGTCAGATTCCAGTTATGTCCTGGCACTATTCCATTTACAAGATAGATGCACCAGCATTGTCCCTCCTCTCCAGTGCCCTAAAGAACTGGTCTAAAACACCACAGTATGCCCAGACCCCTGAGATGGACTAGCTAAGTAGCAAAGCTAGGGCTGCTGCCACAGCATGTACCTGGTGCTCAGCCTGACTGTGTCAGAAGACAACCAGAAAATCTAAACCACAGGCTCAATTTTATGGGAGGGGTCATAGGCACAAAAGAAGGGCTAGAAATGTGTGCATTTTTTTCTGTTGAAGTTTGTTATTTGTAGCAAGTAATTTACCTGATTTTTTTCCCCACATAGTATCTTTTACTCGGTAAAATATTTATATTCCAGAAATGCCAGGTATAGAAATTTTCATGTCCAAAGGACTCACGTCTTAAGTTTCAGTGTGAAAACAGTTCATGCATGGAGCATAAACAAGTTAGTGCAAGCAGCGATAATGCCTTAATACTACTTTATGTTATCTTTGTTTCTCACGTGAGCTGGAGTAGAAAGAACTTTCACTGATATCCTTTGTGCCTTATCTCTCCTGAAAGGACTTTGAGGCTGAAAGGTGAGCAGCAGAAAGGCTCAGTGTTGTGTAATGCTCACAAACCTTGATCATAGGATAGTAGTATCATTAGGATACCCTGTGTACTGTTTTACAGGCTTTTTTATGCCCTCAGCAGCAGGCAGCAGGTGGGGCAGCTTACATTTGGCCTCAGAAACCTTTTTCTCTCAAAAAAAAAAAACACTGTAGTCGTGTTCAGAGGTCTTCAGTCTGCCTTGTTTCCCACAGAGCATTGGATCCCTCCTGTCCCCAGAATGCAAGGATTTGCTGTGGGCCGGCCAGCTGGCACTTGTCAGATTTTGGATTCCAGATATAGGAAAGCAACATCCAGCACACAAGAGATCTTTTTCCATTTAGGACATCCTCATCCCATGGAAAGCTGTCTGCCAAGACCACCATCGCTCACAGTGGTTTTGTGTTCCTCTTTCAGAAGCCGAGGAAAGCAGAGGGGTGAACAGAACTTACTTGTATGCTTATTGTATGACGCATCTTTCTATTCCTTCACACAGGTTCCCTGGAATTAGGCACAACCTAACGCAGGAAATTAAATGTACGTGTAAGTTTTTGCAAGATGAGGCCAAAGTAAGCCCTACAGCAAGGAAGGAATTTACGTTCAAGTTTAGCTCAGCGATCAACAGTAATCCACATCAAAAGCCCACAGGAGTTCAGCCCAGTTATTTCCAATCAAAAAGATGGTCAACTATGCACTCTGAATAGCAGACTTTTATTGGTGTACAATTTGTGGAAACAAGGTAAGAGTTGGCATGTTTTAATCCCCAAGACGAAGAACGGGGATAGCAGCAATGCAGGCGATCACAACCCGCGCCCCTACCCTTCATTCCCGCCCTCTCTCCGCGCCGCCATTTCGGCGCAAACGCCCCCTCTCAGCGGGCAGCGCTACGCAGGCGCCAGGCTTCGGTGGCGGCTCTGCGTATGCGTTAGGTTCTCGCGCATGCTTGGAGCCCGCTTGGGCTCGCTCTGCTCCGTACGTTTCGTAGCAACTGTACGCAGTGCGTTATAGATGTCCGCGTCCTCACCCAATCGCTTGGACAGTGTTGCCGGGCCGGGCGGCCTGCGCAGCGCTCGGAGCTGCGGGAGCGGGGCGCTCGTCGGCAGTTCGCGGTGACGTCCTGAACCCCCGCGGCGCGGCCGAGGAGCGCCGCCGAAAGGAGCGGTTCTGCCTGGGGCGCAGCGACACAGCGGGCGGACCCCAGGCCGGCGCGGGGCTGTGCCGGGACGGGAGAGCGTCCTCCTGGCGGGGGTCACCTGCTGAAGCGCCTCCTGACAACACGTTTGTCGCGTTTAGTGTTTCGAGGAAGAATGATGCAGAACGTGCACCTAGCTCCTGAGGAAGACGAGGATGATCTTTACTCTGGCTACAATGATTATAATCCCACTTTTGACACAGAGGTAAAAATGTTTGCTCTTGCCCGCTTTTCCTGCAGAGTATCAATTTTTGCGTATGAGATAAAAACACACGAGTGTGGTAATGTGCAGGGACACTTTGAAGTGAAACGTTCTGCATTTTGCAATAAATACAAAGCTTCACAAGTGTCTCTTTAAATAATTTTTTCTTTCTGATCGTTTATCTGTACCAACAAAATGCTTTTGCGTGTCTCATAACAAGTCTAACGTGCCATAAAGATTAGGAAATCCTAATTATCTGGAGGCTGTATGGGCATTCATTGTGGTGTTTCTCAGTGTGCAGCAGCAAGTTTCCTGATATTTAGCGATCAACAGGTCATCCCTCTCTTAATGTGCTGGAGCTGAAGGGAATGAAAATGCAGTTCCCACTCTGCTGGTCCCTGCCCAACTTGCAGAGCATCTGGGGTAGCAAAATAACCCTACAGTCCAATTACTGAAACCTTCTGATATACTGGAATTGGAACAATAGGAGGGAGTGAGGGGTCTCATTTGGTCCAAGTCCCACAAAGTCACAAGACTTTTTTGCTAACTTGCATGAAATCCCTATACCACAGTCCATGGAAACTTCAGTCTGACCTCAGATAGATATCTTTATGCATGTGTGTGGCAGACATTGAAGTCAGTTAAAATTCAGAAATAGTGCTAATAATAAGGAGAGAAATCACATTATATTTCATCACTTAATCTCTGCTTCTTCAGTGTTACTTTTTTTTTTTCCCCATGAAATAATTGATTTTTACACTTCTTATTCTAAAATAAGAGCAGATGCAGTCATTACTTATTGTCAATAAGACCTGTAATTCAGTTCTAGTTTTAGTATTTTTTTGGAAGAAGAATAACTTTTTACCTATCTGCTTTCAGTAGTCATAGTGTTCTGGGATTGTGGCTTTGGATGTTGTGATTTAAAGTTTCATTTTATTTTATTCTTTACAGGATTTAGAAAATGATACAGCTTTTCAACAGGCAGCAAGAACAAGTCATGGTAGAAGACCCCCTGTAAGTAATTTATAAAAATATAACATAAAATGGTTTGGTTAAAAACCATCCAGTTCCACCCCCACCCTGCAGTGTGCAGGGGCAATTTCCTCTAGACCAGGGTGCCCAAATCCCCATTGAGCCTCGTCTTGAGTGCTTCCAGGATCCACCCATAAAATCTATGCCTCTCTATTTTAGAAACAAGAATGTTGTGCCAGACAGCATCTAATGCTTTGCACAGGTCTTGGTAGATTACATCAGTTGTTCTCGCCGTATCTGTAAATGCCTATCATAGAAGGCCACCAGATTTGTTAGACATGATTTGCCCTTAGTGAAGCCATATCTCCTGCCACAAGCCACCCCTCTGTTTTCCATATTCCTTAGCCAGGTTTTGAGGGAGATCTGCTCTGTGTTCTTGCCAGGTGCGGAAGTGAGACTGAGAGGCGTGCAGTTGCCCGAGTTTTTGTTTATTCCCTTTTAAAGCCCTTTGTTCCCTTTTCCAGACAATGGAAACTTTATCAGATCACCACAACTTTTCAAATATGATTGAGAGTGGCTTAGCAACTTAATCTACCAGTTCCTTTAAGGTGATCTGATGCATCTACATGGGCTTATGTGCATTCAGGTTCCTTGGTTGGTTTTGTCTTCTACAGCGAGCAGTTCTTTGTTTTGCCAGGTCCTGCCTTTGGGTTCTGTGGATATTACAGTAGAGGAGAAGTTCTCTAGAGTCCCATCCCTAATTTTAGCTCTAGAACTCAGCAGAAGATTGCATCTCTTATCTTTTTGTCCACTAATAGCATGTATATACAATTTTCAGTTGTTTGTGTGAAAACGAAGTAAAAAAATTCGTGGAGTATCAGTTCTGTTAAGCTCTGGAGTTAAGTTGGAAGACAAAGCAAATAAGGAATTTTTGTTATTTGCCAGGATAATCTGTTTCTACAACAGTACACCTTTCTGTAACAATTGAAACATTATTTCTATGAATTCACTATATAAAAAGACTAATAATTAACTCATACAGTTGTTTGCTGCATTTTTTTTTTTTTAATTATTTTTCCCACTCAGGTGACAGCCAAAATTCCTGGTACAGCAACTTCAAGACCTATAGATACTGCATTTGGGGTAGGTGTTTGTTTTTTGTTTAACAAAAAATGAGGTATTTACCAAAAAATTACTCACAAATTAAGTTTATCATTTAATCCCAATCTTGGAATGGGCTAACAAGGTTCTTTTGAGTGCAGCTAAATAAAATAATCCCGTCTCAAAGCAGAGCTAGTGGGCTCCAGCCAGAAGTGGATCAGTTGTCCACAGGACCACCATAGAACTGGAAACCTCTGGAGCATCATCCCGTCTATGGTACTGCCTGTTTCACTCTGCAGATTCACTTCTCCTGCACCACAATCCTTGCTGTGTAAACAGAGAGGGGGAAGAAAGGAAAAAGAAATGATATATGTGGTGGATAGTGGTAAAATGGTGTAACATAGGCCTTGTGGGTGGAAATTAGGGGAATGATTTTTCATGGCCTGAAGCCTTTTGTTTTTGTGTATTTGTATTGCATGTGTAACAACCTTTTAGCATTTACTACTATTTCATGTGTTTATTACTTTACACTTTCAGCAGCAATACGGAAGGACAGTATGTGGCATGTCAGCTAATGAAAAAGGCACCCACTGGCAGTTGCAAAGTGTTTCTGTCTTTATTGTAAAATGATCTGTGTGAACGTACGACTTCAAGCTGCTCACCAAGATTCATAGTGAAGCGCAAAAAAACCTTTCACTGCTTACAGTGAAAGTGGTGGTTGGAGGATGTGCGGAGTGTCATAACATAGATAAAGCAGACAAATTGTAGTTTCTAATCTTGCATCAGCTGTATTCAGAACTTTACTGCAGAATTTTACATAAATTACTTGTGCGAGACTTAAGAATGCGTGACTTGTAATGATTAAATGTCGTTTCAATAATTTAATAATGGAAAGTGCTGCTATCTTGCCTTTATACAGTTTGCATTTTTTAAAGGTTTGGCAGAAATATCCAAATACATAAAAAGAGTATTGTGAATTTGTGCTAACTGAAGCGTTTCACGTCTTCAGGTCTGCCAGGCTCAAGTGTATTGCGCATGAATAATGTACATGAATAAGAACTTCTATGAGTTTAATCATCTCTTAAAACTTAATGGTAGGGAAACTCTGTATGCACAGCCCTTATAGGCTTCTAATGCTCTTTGAATGCCAGTTTCAAACAAGTTACTTATTTTTATAGCAAGTTACTTATCTTTATAGTCAAAGACAACTTTAAGTTCATCTATGGGAAGACCAGTGACAGGAGCAGCACAGATGAAAGTTTTAATATTTACGTTTTGTGTTGACTCAGAACAGTGGTATTTTTCTGCTAAGTGTTTAGGTTGAATGCAAATATTCTTGTTTCAAATAAGCATTAAATATAAATGATGACACTATTTAAGCTTCTCCTTTTTTGAAAGCATCTTACGGCAAGTGTAATGCTTTGGATGAGCATGTTATTTGAGCACTGGTTGGAGACAGTGTCACCGAAATTGTTTTTAACTCTTCCTGACATGCAAATGAATATTTTTTTTTTCGAAGTAGGAAGAAAGGTGAATTCTGTTTTTCATTTTTCTTATGCATTTATACTCTAATAAGAAACTACTGCAACGTACCAAATATTTTCCACACCATCCTTAAACTTACTGACTTAGTGATAGGAGAGAGAGTTGCCACTGTTTATTCCCTTGCACCAGCCCTGGTGGGATATAGGACATACCTGGAAGTGTTGGGAATGGGGCTGCTCCCTCAGGGAAGGCAAGCCAAGATCCCAAGTGGAAATCGCCTGTTGAGCAGTGCAGGAGTATCACCAACCTGGCATCACCCAACAGTATCTGAGCAAACCAAGTAGGGTCCACATAGAAATGGTGCCAATATCCAACCTAAAGTCCAGAAAATCAGGCAGTGCCACAGTGATGAGGCAGGTCAATAAAAACAGTTTAAAAATACTCAGTTTACTGATGTGTTAACAATTGATTTTTTTGTGCTTAAATGTTTCTTAGTGTGTAACTGTTGCCTGTGCTGTCCATGATGTGTCTTTTAATATTTCTTCCTTTTTATTTAAGGATGGAGTTTCTCGGCCAATGACAGCAGTGCAAGCTGCAGGCTACACTAAGGCAGCTATCAGAGGTACACTTTGTAGAAATTGCATGCTATCAGAGGAAGATGTTATTTTACAGTGTTCAGTACTCTGAAATTTTCAGTACTCTCAATTTTGCAGGTTCTTTATTTGATCCTCTTGGCCAAGCAAGAGGTCCTGCTCCACCTCTGGAAATGAAAAATCCAGACAGGTTTGTTCAGTTTTGCTCTGATTTCAAAGCATTAACAGTACAAAGAGCAGCTGACAGCAGAGCTTAGAAACATGCATGCAGTTATGAAACCTTGAGAGGCCAAACTTAACTTTGTGGAATAGAGCCACAAACATTTACGTGCATGGTTACCTGATCCTCTGGAGTAGTTGTATTGCCTTGAAGGAAAGTCTGCTTTCAGAGATTTCTGGTTCCAGCTGTAGCTAGCAGCCTGGATGTGGCTGTTGCCACATGAATGCTGTGATACTAAATAGTATTGCAAAGTATTATAAAAGTGTATCACAGGCAAGGGACACTATGATTCATGCAGTTCAGACGGAGTCTGCTTGCTCTTTCTCCCTAGTCACTATCTGGCCTTAACACTTGAGTTAGAACTGAAGTTGTGAAAAGCTCACCTACACTCACAGCAGACTGCAAAACTTTCACAACATTTGTATTATTTAAATGCATTTAGGAGTAGGGAATCCTACTGAAATGTTTGCTTGTTTAAATGAAAAGAATAAATACAGACAAATAAAAACTTTAAAGCAAAATCTGTGTATACTTTAAAATTATATATGCAGATGAATTTCAATTAATTGCTTTTAATACAGTATTTTTTTTCACTAGATACTAGATTTGAAAGTTTCACCAGTTCATCTGTTTGTACTGTCATTATTTCAGATCAACAACTCGTGTGTAGGATATTTGCATGTCTGTCCCTTTTTCATAAGAGAATTTATGTTTTCTTAGATCTCTGTGTGTGCGAATGTAATATCTTTGGAGGTTCTTTGGACATAGTTTCACGTTAAGTTGTCTGATGGAAAAACCAGTTAGTAGTGAAGTTTTGTTGTCTTGTTTTACTGAGAATATGCTGCCTTAAAGCTTAAGTATTTGCCAGTGTATTAGTAATGGTAGTCAATACTTTTCTTGTTGTGTTTATTTTAGCTCAGAAGAGAAGATTAGGCAGTTAGAAAAAAAAGTGAATGAACTGGTTGAAGAAAGTTGCATTGCCAACAGCTGTGGAGACTTGAAATTGGTATTTATTCTGGATTTGTTTTTTCATTTGTTATTATTTGAAACATAAATAATGAGAAGTCTAGTAAAGCAATGAGTGTAAGTAGAGTTAGAGCAGAAGATGAATAAAGTGTCTTTCTGAACTGCTTTATACCATTCAATGTTGATCCTGGACCAAAAGGCCTTTTGGTCTGATCAATTCCCATGTTCATTTGAGAAGACTAGAGCTCCAGGTTTTCTGACAGATTGTGAATGGTCTGTGCTTTACTACAGCTCAGGAAAATGACACTCTTTGATGTACACAATGCTTTATTTGTGAATCAACCCATTCCTGAGCTTAGGTTTGCATATTTACTGTTACAGTTTTGACCCAGGCCATTTTCTGAAAAAGGTTCTAGGTGCAGTTGAAGATTGCTATGGACCTTTTTCCAGGAGGCAGTTTGAGTGCATTTGCCCTGTTGCAGATGCAACGTGTCTTTACAGTTGTTAGAGGCTAAGTAATAAATAATTTTATTCACATTTATTATGATATATTTAGTGAGTTTAAGCAATTTGGGCAAGTTAACATTTTTAATAACTGGTGTACTTTTGTCTGACACAAAGGAATGTTTTCTATCCACAATCTAATTCACACCATTTTGAATCACTCTTTAGATGTTGTCAAGGTAGATGATCATTTACCTCAGCTGTCTGAATGCGTGGGTTGTCTTAGCTACAGTTTGGACCTGCTAAGAAACACACAGCCCTGCTCTTTGTTTAGAATCATAGGATAACTGAGGCTTGCAGGGACCTGTGGAAGGTCACCTGGTCCAACTTGTGCTCAAACAGGGACACGCAGAGCAGAGTGCCCAGGGCTGTGTCGAGGCAGCTTTCAAAGATCTCTGAGGTGGAGATTCCACTGCCTCTGGGCAGTTGGTGCTGGTGCTCCATCACTCACACAGCACAGAAGTGCTTCCTGGTATTCAGGGGGAGCCTTCTGTGTTCCAGTTTGTGCCTCTTGTCTGGGCACTGGGCACTACTCAGCTGCAGAGCCTCCATCCTTTTGGCATCTTCCCTTCAGGTATTTATGGACATTGATGGGAACCTCCCCTGAGCCTCCTGCAGACTGAACAGTCCCAGTTCTCTTAGCATCTCCTTACAGAGAGATGCTTCAGTTCCTTAATCATTTTTGTCACCCTTAATTTATATGCAGTTTCTATGATTCATACAAGTAGAATAACATTTCTATGCTTGTGATTGTGGTGCCTATTTTGTATATGTGTGTATATATACACATACTGTGTAACTACTGTAAAAGTATTGCAACTAAGCTGACCTAGATAACTGTATGTCTGCTTATTGCTAACTAACACATTTCTGTGGGTTGCAGTGCTACTTTTCAAGCATTGTGTACACTTGTGTGCCTAAAGAAAAGAGACATGAGTATATTATTTTCATACTTGTTTTGGATGTATTTTTGTGGTCTTCTGTTAGTAAGATTTGAGGCATCACTAAATTTCAGTTTTTAATTTAAGGCTCTGGAAAAAGCAAAAGAAGCTGGAAGAAAGGAAAGAGTATTAGTGAGGCAACGTGAACAAACTGCTACTTCAGAAAGCATCAACTTAGATCTCACTTACTCAGTAAGTACTTAGAATTCTTCAATGACTAAAGTGTGCTGGTAGCTAATGGTGTTTCATTATTGCTATGTGCATGCTGTAATTGTAGAATCACCTAAGGTGGAAAAGGCCTTCAAGATAATGAAGTCCAACTATCAACCTGACCTACGGAGTCCTAATGCTAAACCATGTCCTGTGGTGCCCCATCCACACATTCTTAAATACCTCCAGAGATGAGGAATCCATCACATAGTCAGTATAAGTTGAAGGACACCCAGGGACGTTCCAGCTGCTCATCACATTAAAAAAGCTCATATCAAAATACAGTAAATGTAAGCTCCATACTTCCAAAATGAGTATGTAGGCAATGTAATGTGTGAATACAAAGGAGAAGAAAACAGGAGAATCAAACATGGCCCTTATCTTGAACCATCAGGGAACATATTATAACAAAAAATATATTGGTATCTTGACTTGCTGTAGAGAAAGTGGTAAATGTAACGAGTTAGGCAGATTCAGTTGCTTATTTCACAGAGAAATTTCCAGTAAAGCTGAGATAAATATTGGGGATGTTTTACTTGACTCCAACTGAACTTCTTTTTTTGAAATAGCAGTTCAAAAAATTCTCTTCATAAACTGTGAAGGACCATTTTCCACACGTTGGGAGTCATAAATTACACCGTTTCTGAGTATTATCTTAAAGACCAAAGGAGCATTAAAGATGGGAAAGTTAAAACTGGCAAAAGCATATTTCTTAGGTAAAATTTATCTGAAAGTATCTACTATGAGTTCAAATTTATTACAGTTCATATAAGAACATTCTTTTCCCATACCTATAATTTTTTTTTTGGTCTAGGTTCTTTTCAATCTGGCCAGTCAGTATGCTGCTAATGAAATGTATGCTGAAGCACTAAACACTTACCAAGTTATAGTGAAGAATAAGATGTTCAACAATGGAGGTAGGTTATGTACCAAAATGAATAAAAATTGGTACTCGTGCATTCAAAGTCAGGACCTCATCTGTATGTGTTGGCTCAAAGAGACCTCAGCTCTCTCATCTGCCAGGATGAGTGGTGGATGCTCATACTGTTTGTCTTAGTATTATTTAGTGTGGTTAACACTCTTTCAGCTCATGCAGTCTTTTCTTTCCATAACAGAGCACAGAGTCAAATACACCATTTTGCTCATGGAACATAATATGTTGTCTACTCTGATATTAATTTTTTTTCTTTTGATTCAGCTTGCTCTTTTTGAAATCTTCCTTCAACGTTTTGGGCATCTTTGAGACTCGTGCAGATTCCACCACCTCTTTCTCTGAGGTGCTTGTTTACAGCTGCCTTCCTGGAGCACACCATCACAAACGTCTAGTCCATCCCTCAGCTCACAATCAAAAATGAGAGACGTGTCTTACATTGATAGTCTTTTTTTTAGGTTTTGCTATTATTTTATCTCCTTCTTGGTCAGTTACCTGGAGGCTTTTCCTTGCTGTGCTCCTTTAAAGGATGACTGTAACGAAGACTGATTTTAGTAAAAAAGTTCTAATCTCCCTTTCAACTAGTTTAAAAGTTGCTGTAACTATGCTTTAAAAGATTGTAGCTCATGGACTTCTTGTGACAGGTAGACTGAAGGTCAATATGGGAAATATATATTTAAAACAGCGGAACTATTCCAAAGCGATCAAATTCTACCGCATGGCTCTAGACCAGATTCCTAGTGTCCACAAAGACATGAGGTGAGCTTGTACTGTTCAGCACAGTTCTGAAATGAAAGTTTGGAGTACAGCATGATAGTTAATAAAAGTGTAACCTAGCTCTGATTTCTTTGCTTAGGATTAAAATAATGCAAAATATTGGAGTTGCATTTATTAAAACTGGCCAGTACATGGATGCCGTTTCTTCATTTGAACACATAATGAGCTTGTCCCCAAACCTGAAGGCAGGCTTCAACCTGCTCGTATGTTACTTTGCTATTGGAGACAGCGAACAAATGAAAAAAGCATTCCAAAAACTGATTGCGGTTCCCTTGGAAGTGGATTATGATGACAAATACGTTTCACCAAATGTAAGTTTGAACTAAATAAATGCTGTATTTATATAATAAATCAGGAGGAAGAGGGAGAGATGTTGAATGCTTTGACTATACAAATATGTAAGCTGATGTGTATGTGCATATCTAAAGTAACATTTTTTTAGTGGGATGAATTTAACATGGCAGCACCACTCAGAAATGTAAAAGATGTTGAGGATGTTTGAATATTTTTTTCCTCACATGATACAGTCTACATAAAATCTCTTGAAAGGTTTTATTGAAATTCATCAGGGCTGATTTTTAGGCTCACTCATTGCTTTGCATCCTTTATTTATTTAACATTTTGCTGAATCGTAAGTTGAAACAAGAGGAACAAATAAATGAGCTAGTGCCGTTTATATGAATGCTAATAAAACTGTAATACAGTTGTCTTTTTAACATAGAGAAGGTTTAAGTCAAGTGTAGAGATAGTTATTTTAGATAGCATAGAATTGTAACTGAACTTCGTTTTTAGCATGAAACCAGCTGTTCGTGATATAAAGAAAGGAAAAATAATGAATAGGTTTAGGGTCTTTTTAAAGGGATTGCCTACGGAAAGATTAAGACAAACACTTTATATTCCCTTAGCAATCCCTTGTTTAAATTCACATAGCTTCTTTTTCAATCCTGAAGATCAAAGATCTTTGCAACTCAACTATGGTTGTTGCTTTGTAGCACCTAGCATTGGCAAATAACATTTACTATGTGAAACACTACGTTTTATATTTTATAATAGTAATTATTATAGATACATGATTGTATTATATATTATTATGTTTGATTATATTATTATTGATATACATACAGATACAATTTCTTAAGTTTTTTTTACATGTATATTTTTTATTATATAGTTGATATGATTTCTAGATGGGAATTATGTAGCAATAGGGATCACTGAACACTTGCAGAGTCAATTCAAGGCTATGTAACATCACTGATTGGAAGAAGAGCTCTGGATTCTGGATGCTGTTTGTAAGGATAGGTTAGTACAGTTTTAACGGTCATTCCAAGTTTGCTGTTTTGCTATGAAGTAGTCAGAGGAAAAATTGATCAAGTTTTGTTCTGTTCTTCATTTTGTTTGCATCTGTGATCCACCTCTAGCAAATCAGCAAGGAATGGCTAGCACCTCACCTCTGTGTGTTTCTGTCAGAACTGATAGGAATGTACGTATGTGAGGGAAACTGCAAGACAGTTGTGTGAGCTGTTGTAATGACGAGGTGCTGCAGTTCCTCCATCTGCTGCACAGCACTGCCTTTCAGCAAGTGCTGAAGCACGTTCTTATTTTCAGACACATGAGAGTTCTCACTGGTATGCGGATGCAGGCTTCTCAGTCAGCCTTGCCAGTCTGATGCACGGGAGGCTGACTGCACCTATCAGCAGCCGCAGTGTGAGCCATGAGCCTCGTGCCTGAGCGCTGAGACGGGATGAAAGTAGCTGTGGTGTCAAACGTGAGGTTTCATAGTTAGAGTTATGAATGCTTTAAATTGAGTTCAGCTTTTGAAATGTGGGAAGTGAGTAACACCGTAGATGCTGTAATCTGCATCTATGTATGTTTACAGTCAAGTGAAGATGCATGTGTACTGGCATAACTATTTACAGGTCTTCTGTCTCCTTCCAGGATGATCCACATACAAATCTACTGCTTGAAGCCATCAAAAA